AAGTTTGAAGATATGGCTGAACAAACAACCACGTTCCTGTAACATAATGTTGTACGTAAATCCTTTATCTTAAGCTGAGGTGATCACTCCAGGTTGTATGGGGATGGATATGCCACTGCTTAAAGCTAATTTATTACGATGCCTTTCACTAAACATTTTTTGTATAGGGGATCAAAATATTTATCGAAAATATTTATCGTCAAATATAGCTGTCGGTGCTTTAATAGGCTATTCGCAAGCCTGCAGAGAACTACTGCTTTCCGTTCAGAAAAATACCCTAACTTGACATAATGGAATATCACGCCGAGAACAGTATTGAGTTTTCCTGCGTGTGAAGTTTTTCATAAACGCTTCCTTTTTTTCTAAGACTAGAACAATTTTCTTTGATTTTGGCTATCCGAAAGAGTTTCACAGAAATCGCTCGTGATGAAAACGATGCGAAAGCATTCTATTTCTTGTGCCAGGCACATGAAAGGACACGAACTGTCAAGAGGATTCGTAAATCTCACATGTACCTTTAGGCTTTCGATGGTTGATTGTCTTTGAATAGCAAATTCTGTCTGCAATCAAACGATAGATTTACCAAACGTTTACACCATTATCTATGACGGGCGACGACCAAAATAAGAGAAAGATAGCACGTCACACGAAAAAACTCTTAATAGAAAATCTAAATTTGGAAGAAAAAACAGAGATGGTACCTTTAGAGCTCAATAGTCAAATATGACAGAATTTCGTACAAAGAAAGAACTGAGTTCTTCACGAGAAATTGAACCTCATACCTTCGAATTCGGACTTCGCTCTCTGATGCTCTGAAACAGAACCACAATGAACTTCAGAGTTAATTAGACCATCACACACTACAAGCAACGCCGAAAGCGATTCAACGGTTGTGTAAACAGAGTAAGAAAGATAGCGGATTCAAAGCAATAAACTACAAGCTACTAGTCGCAGTTTGACAAGAGAACAGAATTCAATGACGTGTTGTATGTCATTTGCCTGCATATATATAGGTATCCGAATGCAGGCAACCGGAAGATATTGTTATCGTTAAAAGAATGTTGTTTTCGAAGGTCCAAAGGATAAAAGAAAGGTAACGTATTGTGGCTTCTGCTGATAAAAAGGAAGTCTTTGACTCACTCAACAGTAAATTTCTCCTTTCTCATCCGGCCAAAAGTTAGTTTAACGTTCGCCAGTGGAAAGAGCGATCGTTGGTATAAATCAACTGAAATCGTTTTTGAAATTTGGGCATCAATATATTCTTTACCCCAAATTATATTCTTTTATTTGTGAGAAATACTCGCTGTTTTTGCTTTCTTCATTCAACATGAAGCGTTGACGAGAAAGTTAAAGGTTTAATGTGTTCAGAAGTTTTAATGAAAGGAAAAAAAGTCATGATTTTAGGACTAATCATTGAGCCCTTGAGGGCAAAGCTTAAGCCCTCTGTTGTTTGTTGATAACTTTGGTTGTTTGCAAAACCATGCAACTGATCATGAATGGACACACCTTATAGCTCGCACATGCGCATCACAACTAACCTCTCCCTCTAACAGACCTAGATAGGCATTAAAGCACATGTTGATCAGCAAAGCCGAATGATGTGAAGAATTCAATTGAGTGCCGACAATTTGGGGCGTCTAAGCACACATGAAACTTGTACATCAATCCTCACGTTAGAATTTGCCTATTCATCGTGGCTAGCTGATTGACAGTCGAACTAACATCCAGCTAAGCATAATAGAATGAATAATATTCGTGTTGACACACACGTGCCTTGGATGTGAAAATTAGATTGAATATGTTTTTATCAAAACTGAATCAATCCAATACTACCCGCGGAGAAGATTACAAATTTTTGTGGAAATATTAGTGGTCAAATGTTATGAACTTACAAATTTCAAGCAAATAAACAGTTTGCAGTAATCAGAGATTGATGCTATGGAAAGAACCCTCAATTACCAACAGCACGAAAACAGGATCGATTGAATTGCTTTTTTCCTACGGTAAACGTTATCAAGAATCCGGACAAAAGCTACCGAGGGAATTAGTCAGATTTCTCTCTTTTAAGTAGTACACGATCCAAGACTCCTCCCAAAATAATCTCCATACCTTAAACTGAACAAACAATTAAAAAAATTGTGCCTGAGGAAACTGTAAATTGTCTTATAACAGGATCAGACAATGGGGGCAATTTGGATGAAACCTGCGAATTCCAACATCCTCATCTTCAGTTCTTCGAGGCCTCGTAACCACCAGCCCTTGCCTTTAGAACGCCTAGACTGTTTATTTTCGTATCGTAATTCTAAGCTTTCTAAATGTATGTTTATTATAAATAAGAACAACACATAAGTTTATTTTAATACACGTTGTGCTACACCACGGATAATCCTGTGAAGATGTATGCTTAGCTTCAGAGTCTTTTGACAGCTTGTAGAGTAGGCGGCCAAATTTACTTGGGATCGATCCATTGTTTCTATGTTATTTCTCGACCATGAAGGAATCTCTAAAAGGGAAAAAATCTTGTTACCGATTTAATTTTGACAAAAAAGAGCAATTAAAAAGCATTAATGCGGCATCGGATAGAGGCTCTAATCAGTTCTTTGGAGTGCATCTAGTCAGAGCTTAATCTAAATACTCGAGTGAAAGAGCTTAAGCTTCCCAGCGATCATTTCAACCAGTAAGATCTTGATACGACTATTTTCACCTACAAAAGACCACATTCCTTCTTCAAAAAGGGAAGCTTTAGTATTAAGTAAGCGTATCAGTTACCTCACGATCTACTTAATCTGCTGCTGATTGACTTGCTTGTTCAGTTGAACAAAGATCCCACCAGATTATTTAGAATATTTTTGATACAAAGTTAGGCTCAGAAATGAACTGACTTAACTCCCTTAACACATCAAGGAACCATGAAGGATGACAGTGGACTGAGCACAATATTAGTACCTCACCAAAGCCAAACACGCATTCACTTCATTGGCACATAGGTCAAACTCCGTCCCGGAATAAACGTAACAGAATCATTGGCAATGGATTATCATCCATTGTATGCAATGAATACTTACACTAGGGTTTGTTCAGAAATGGATAAAAAAGTCAAGAAAGACGAAAAAGAAAAGAGATTATATATATATGTATCAAGAGCATAGTTTAGATTGGATAGTATTCACTTATCTCTAGGCGCTGGTTTTGTAACCAATAAGTTATCTCTACCAAGAACAAGAATATGAGAGAAGGTTAAATATGCATTGCTTATGTATACCTGCCATTATAAACTATCCCATTTTGACGTAAACGAGCATTTTATCGACTTTAATTAAAATTCTAGTCTAAGACAATAAGTTCAAGTTTTTTAGAGCATAATTTTTTTGTTATGGAATGCACGCCCAGTTCATCAAACACGAGTCACTAAAGTGGCAAGACCTCAAATATCGAAATGATTAAAAAATCGTGATCTTAGGAAATGACTCTTCCTAAATTGACGTGAGAACGATAAAGTTTGTTTAACACAATGAAATTAAAGGATTAGAGGTTCTGGAGAAATGCATTCAGGAAAGAGAAAAAATCTTCCATGTGTCAGAAAGGAGAAAGATCTTCATATTAGGGAATCTGTTTATGCCTCGGGGTAAAACGAAGGGATGGGAATTGTAATCACACGTTCAGTTAAAACAATTAAAACTTAAAATTCCTGCTCACCACGTAACTGTCAATTTTTGTTTGAAATTCGTATAGTTTTGAAAGGCATTTGTCAGATTTGTCAATCATTTCTTGACGGATTTGTCTCATATTAAGTGCTTCATGGATTCTATTTTCTGGTCAGGGAAGGCTCAGTCATTTAGCTGTAACACACGAGGGTTATCACGGTTGAGTTGAAGTCGCACGTTTATCGAAAGTCGAACTTGCCTATGAACATCTCCAGCAGAATTGCGTCTGAGCCTGTTGTGTTATTTTCGTCTTCTAACAACCCGAAGAGTGTCGACAGCTCAGTGAATTGCATGCAATAATATTTCAATTAAAGACCATAATGGATCTCAAGCAGGTCGCCTCCCAGGCGCCCTGAGAATAATGCTGTGGAGTGACAGCTAGGGACATTACGAGCACAAATTTGGCAACCTTCGTGTGTCTAATTTGAGCTGCTAAGATTGATGCATACCGTGCGTCTCCAATAGATAATAATCAGTGCTATTCATTTCTTTAGAAAAACAATTTTCGCTAATATCCTGCTAATGAAAGATGCACTGCTGTCTGCATTACAGAAGAATTTTGGTTCCCACAACGAACAATGAACCTAACTGTCACATCACATTCGTCATTGTAACATTCGTAAATCAGTTATGTAACAACGCAACAGCTCCCTACCTAAAGGGAGCTGCTAGGATCCAAAACGTCTTCGTTGCGGTTGTCTGGCTTTTCCCCTATTCCCCAATTAGTGTAATGAGAGTATACACTAGAATTTTGTTAAGAATATTTCTAATTGATGAGATAGTAGATAAGATAAGGTCGGTTTGGCGTTAATTGCGGGTCTGGTTCCCACAACGGCTTATGTCCGAAGAAAAATTCTCACGGTAAATGTCTCTTATTAAGGACGTTTGTGCGGTCAAATGTCATCTATTGTGGCCTCATTGCCAGCTTTGAAGCTTTGCCAGTACGGAAAAATCTTGTTATGTTCAAAACTTCCTCTGACGTGAAATAATTCTTTAAACAGATGGCCTGAGTTGTCGGAAGTCATCTTACAGTTTTATACATTCTAAAGACAATACTAACAACAGCGCGTGTCCTCTAGTGTATAGATTAAATCAAGTCGTAGAAAAATATACTACTAGTTTTCAAAGTGACCATCTTAGGAATTCTGCTACTTATATCATCAACAATGATTAACCGTGAAAATTTTGACCACGATGGTCTCTTATGAGTCATTATCTGTTCGAAAAACCGCATGCATCGAAAGACAATATTTTGCTTCGGAAAAATAGGAAAAGTACATTGTAATGATCTTGTTAGCCAAATTTAGAGGCGACATATGACAGCGTTGAGGATATTAGATGTCTCGTCAGTGGGACTCCGAGCCGTGTCTTTTCCAATTGCGTTTTAGTTTTCTGTCTTACCAGTCGATCACTTCAAGTTGATTAATCCGAGGGGTGTGTCATTAAAAAGGTTGTCATCTTGTGTGGTCCACCCCGCATAGGTAAACATGATCTCAATCGAACAGGCCACATATACCAGGTGGCATCGAACTAAGGAAGATCAGAACGCTGTGCACCAGGATAGGCGTCGATTTCATTCTTCAGCGCGTGCCTCTAAGAGTGAAAGCTGTCACGGTCATTAACTCGATACAATTTGTTTCATAGGCTTAAGATATACGTTCATATCTCCAACGCATCATGAGAGCGGAGCAGATTCTTCCTCAAATGAGCCTGTTGGTTCTTCTTTTGATGTTCGACAACGAAGGACATTCAAGATTGGCAGAAGGCAAAACTCTCCAGAAGGTGAGTAGCTTTACATGCTTTTGGAATCAAGATAGGCTGCACTTGGTGTTATTACCAGTGAAATGTCCTAAAAGCGAACAAATCTTAAGAAATCCGCCGAAATGGTTGAACGATGCCATCGCAACGTGGCAACGGACTACCGCGTAACAACTCTGCACGCAAACACCGATCAGCAGGGGCAGTAAATTTCTTTTGTAAGTCAGCCAATTTAAAAACCTTTGAAGTGGCTTTAACTTGATTGAAATAGTTTATCTATAGCGAAGGACCGACTCTAGAATTACCTGGTATTTTAAAGGATAATCATGCTGAATCTCTCTTATTTGTCACGTGTATCATGAAGAGGCTACGCGGCTTAAAATGACGGAAACATTCCATCACCTGAAACTTTTCAAGTGTAAGGAATGCCTTCTCAATCTGGCACTCTACTTGCACCTTTATTTTTCAAAAACAATGAAAAAATTTCATACACCCCTTTCTCTCTTTCATATTTCCTTAAAAAAAAAAAAAAACTTACCATGTTTTAATCAGCTTTTGAGGTGAATTGTACAGCTTATCCGTCGAGAACTTTCTTGCAAGATGAAGACTTTTTTGATCTGCAAAATGAAATCAACTTCTAGTTTATTCTGTAATCAAACTAATGGACCGTGATCTTTGGAGATGAAACAAATTGTGAATTTAAGGGAGAGATTTAGGGCCTTTTATTTTTCGGTCCGAGACGATAAAGAAAAGAGATGAAATCTGCTGGTACGATCATGGTAAACTTTCCATTTGTGCGCCTAAGATTGTGCTTGAAACAAAGTGGACAGTGTGACGTAGAACAAGAAACAATGCAATTGTAATGTTTATCAAGAGGCTTTGCGAAATCCACATGTACAGTGGCAAAATGCTCCCATTGTGTCAAAATCGCCAAGTTACATAAATAACAGATTTTTAAAGCAATGATCGCAATTCGGTTCGGATCTCACCACATCAAAGCAGATGGCTCTAAAACTGGCATTTTACTTCGAGGTAGGGAGTTTTCTAGCAGCACATGGGGGACAAAACGAGCATTTTAGGGTTTTAATGGAAACCACATGTGTGGGGAGCATTTTGAGATTACGAATTGCTTTATCAGAACCGCAAATCTTTCAGGCGTGATGTCTTGTTTGAATTAAGACAAGCGATGCTATTTTCTCTTTACCCTATAAATAAGCATCGACTGATGGTTTCAGCTGAGGCCTTCAACTGTTAAAATAACTCTTTCGAGAGAGTAAGGATTGAGGAATTGTTTATAATGTGAAGAGGCCGTTCGTCATTCGCTCCTCCTAACAAAGATAACAAGATGTCTTGCCACGCCACATCAGGAGAACTCACGTATCGGATGGCCTTTAAACCACGCACGTACCTCGGTCATCGAGCGCTCCATTTCGTGCGCCCTTCCCACGTATCACATGATTCACTATTAGTTCCTAATGAACGATGGTTTTGCCTTCGAATCGGACTAATCTGTTGGTATTTCGCAACAATAACTCTGTGCCTTTTTTATCATATTCAACGTCTTTTGTAAAATATCACAGTTCTCCCCTTTTAAACTGGTAAAATGAATTGAATCATCAAGGTTATCTATGGACACACAGGTTGCCATTCACTGTCTCTTAAATTGCGTGGTCCGTGCATGACCCTTTTTACCTGGCTCATCAATTACAATCCACATTTTTTGTAGTGAAGATAAACTTATGTCTAAAATAGTGACGAAGAGGTTTAATGAAAAGCCAGAACACCTTGGAAGGTCACAAGAGGCCTTAACGGATTTAGCTATACATAATTTGTGTATGTTGAAGGTGCAGCCAAGAATTTTAAAGCTTGTCTTTTGTAATCCATGTCAAAATTCAGTCCGGTCCTCACTAGCCTTGTTCCCTTTTAATCCACATACATCGCTTAAGTGTTTCTCTACTTTTGCAAACTGATATTTGAGGATTACTCAAAATTAGCGTTAAATTTCGAGCAATCACAAATAACTAAAAGGAAAAAAAAAAATGGTAAGAACACGAAAAACAGAGTCCTCGGGAAGTTAGGCAATCAGCCAGAACTTGTGACAGTGAGGAACAGAGAAAATTATTTGAAACGCATAAAACTTTTTCCATTCTCATTTTTGATGAGGATTTTCCATTTATTTCTTAATTGAGGCAACGTTAAGGACGCCGTATTCTGCGCCTTCAAGGACAATGCATTTCCTCCGTACAACAATAAACACCATGCTAGGCAGGGAATTCGTGAATATGTTGTCTTGGTGGCTGAATTTAGATTTCTCTTCTCGACTTAAAACAGTGAGAATAAAAACAAAAAAAGATAAAATGAATTAAGGTGCATAAGTTTGTAACGTTCGCTTTATCCACAATGTTTCAAAATATTTCATTGCATGTAAAAATGTTTTTCTTCCGTTTTTATCCTTTTTGGAAGCAAAAAACGCCATAGGGCAGAAATCAATATCAAATTCTTTGCTGGGAAGTGCATACTTACCCATATTTTCCCAGCACGACTCAAAGCCTGTTCGCGGTCATCCAAAACTCTAGTTAAATTTGTGAGAACATCCCTGAATAGTGGTGACAGTTAAATTTAGAAGGATGTTTACGCTTTACAATCTTAAACTAGTCCTTTAAGCGGCCAAGGTCACTTTTGTACCTGAGTCAAATGACAAACACGAAATCAAATAATTTCCGTGAATCATTGAGTATTTAGTCTCTGCGATGAGATAGTTCGGAAACAAAACGGGTTTCTTGTCGCCAAGCTGAGCTCAGAGTAAGTGCAAAAGGTTATAATTTTGTGCTGGATGGCTGACAGCGACATCGAAAGGATTCCTGCTGAGAAAATGAATGAATAAAGATAAGCGTTAGAAATTTTTAAATCGTAATCAGCGGGTTCCAATTCAAAAGACAAAGATGGGGATATTTGTGGTCATAACTCATTCAGACCTAGCATGGAGACGATGACACCTTTTCATTCACAAGTTTAGAGTTCCTAATTCCAAGTTTGTTCATTTATCAATGCTTAGTGCGCCCATGGTGTTAATTCATCAATTTGTTCTCAATTTGGAAACTTTGATTCAATTTGCTATTGTTGTGGTGACCTTTCTTCACTCTCCTACGGCCATCTCGAAGGATCTGTTACTTGAAAATACTTCTACATTAAAAACTTATTTTAAAACTACAACTTTCAGAAGTGAAATGGTAGTGTTGCAGAAGGCTGGTGAGTTCTGTCAGCCTTTCGCGAAGATTTAAACCAAATACTTTTCTTTAATTAATAGTATTTGGCGAGACACTTCCCCCCAAGCAAGATTGATCGCCAGAGAAGTTGGTCATTTAATCAACATCTGAAAAAGTGTCCCACATTTATCAGTAGCTTATTGCTAAGACCTGGTTGCTCCCCACATAGAATATTGGCGACCATTTAAACCAAATTATGTCATGTTTTCTTGCTCATTATCGCTATTACGGAAATTAGATCAGAAACGCGATACATTCGTCAATGGCTGTATCTGTGGATTACTGCTTTCGGTCGGATAACATTTTTGGGGCGGACGTATTTATCCGCGTTGTCTCTCACGTTACCATTTAAGAATTTTGAGCGTGCAGTTGCAAGTTTTTCTCCCCAGAACCATGAAAGAGGAAGTTTGTTGTAGAGCCATGATTGCCCTGGTCAACTTCATCTCTCAGACTTTGCGTTGCAATGCGTGCGTGAGGTTTAACACTTGCACCATGAAACATGTGCATGTAATTTGCCTGTAAGACAGGAAGTCATCCTTGTACAAACACTTTCGAGTATTTCCTGTTTTTTGCTTTCGTGTCTCGAATCACCTGAAGATACGACAAACTGCAAAGTGACAGTTCATTTGTATTTTTTGCAGACAATAGGGGATCCCTTCCGCTGAAGGAAAGGAAGTTCTTAAGTTAATAATTTATCACGTAATTCTTGCCTATGTACTCTGATGTTATATTTTAAATCAGCCAAACCATTCAGAAGGATAGGATCAATTCATTATTATTTCCGTGTAAAACTCCACTTCTTTTCATTAGCTTCTGATAAGGCATCAGAAGTTTTACTCTGACATTAAGTCGCTTACGAAAACACAAAACATAATGGCTGGGACACAACCCCTATCGCCAAAGTCTATTACGGAAACCACGCCGCCATCATTTTTAGATAATTGGGTTTGTTATTATCAGCGAAGTTCAAACAAACACAAGTCGTTGATTATCACAGACTTCCCCACATCCGTTTAATTTCATTTGGCTATCCTAGTGTAAGGGCAAATATAACCATGCGAAGTAACACGCATTTTAAAACAATTTAGGATATTAGAGCCATTGAACTAACACTTTCGTTTAGTTCAACTGTCAACGCTTTTTAAGGGTCAACTCTAGAAGAAAGACACCTCCCAATAACAGCAGACATATGAAGTCGTCTTTGCCCTCAGAATACTTCACTAATCTTCTCTTTGTAGATGTTCTTCAGAAAAACAGTCGGTTGCATCTTCTTACACTGCTATTTCCTAAGATAAGAGGATTTCTAGTCGTATATGCTCCAGAAAGCTATCTTCCTCAGATCGGATAACTCACCAAGGAGGCACCATTATAAAGTCCATTATTTTACAATATCCCATTGCTTTTCTACCAAACAAAAGGCGAAGACAAACTCTGCAAAGAAAAACAAACAAACCAACAAAACTCCCAGACACGTGCACTTTGAGAAGTTTCTTGAAAGACAAGCACGTTACGTAACGTGATTCGTTTGGTATCTTGAAAAGCGTAGTTAGTGTGAAACCTGTAGGAACGGAAACCACAGTGATAGAATAGTTTTAGATGCTTGTAGTACTTGTAATTTGGCTGGGAATTCAGGCTTTACACTGAATAAACAATGGAGACCAGTACGTATTGGTTTCATGAGGTCAGACCTTAACTGAGATTTCCAAATTTAAATAAAGAAAATTTGGTGAAATGGGCAATAATGCCTACGTAGATGAAAGAGGTTCTCGACCACGGCTTGGATTTTGACGCACAACAATTGAGTTTCTCACTGGCCGCGGTAGGAAAACAAACATGGAGCTTGAAATGACATTAAGTCATTTAAAAATATGCTATAAAAAACGATTTCCATATATGTTTTGAAAGCCTTAGATTTCACGATAGCAATCACGTAGGGTTCAAGGACAGAGTGAAAACGATTAGGCTATCCTTTTTGAAGCTTTCTCACGATAAAGCAGAGCCTTTAACTTTTAATAATGTGGCTCCACCAACTGACTTGATAATGTAAATTGGCCACCGTAAAGAGTTCTTAAAAACTCTCGTTTCGAGCGTTAGCCCTTTGTTTGAGCGAATACTCCCAGGCCCCCGACGCAGCACCACAGTTTATTTAGAAACTTACTCCTTTCATAACTCTTGGTTAACATGGGTTTTTCTCGATAACTGAAGTACATATCAAAGATCTCCTCTTCAAATGACTAACATTGAGAAGATTTTTATATTTGCGATGTTTCCGAGTTGAGTCATTTTAGTGCCAGAGAGAACTTGATCGGTCTTTAACTGTCGAATAACACCTTTCATTAACCGCAAGCAAACGAAGTTTGCTGAAGGATGGGGAAAAAAAAATACGTTTTGCAGATGACAAACTGTAGCGAAAAATAATTCAAAATTTTCAAGAAGGACAGTTGTTACCTTTTCGATCGAATTCTGCTTTTATCATTTTAAACGTTGTTGTATAATCACCGATATAAATGTATCATTTTCCATGATTTAGTGTGTAGACAGTAGCTACTTAATGAGATGTCAGTCAAAGACGATTATAAAAATGTAGACTTTACTGAAAGGTGTTCAAAGCGTAAACCGGCGTCGAAGATAAATCCTTCCTCACTGATCAGTGCATGTTTTGCTTTATTTTTCAGTTTGCTCATGACAAAAAAGGTAAGTTCAATAGTTCACATCAAACGGCAAACGTGTAAAATCTCATATATCATGTCGTTATTTTTCTTTATGAAAATTATTTTGCAGTAATGTCCATTAGCCGGCTTTTAATTGAGGTCACTACACTTACACGGAAAACGAAACAGGATAAAAGTAGTCAAAGACAGTCTTTGTCGGATTTTTTTAAGTTAGTGTGCCTGTGTGCGAACAGTGAACTTCGAAAACAACTGGATCATCAACCACGAGAACTTGAAAAGCGTCCAGATAGAATAACGCAAGTATGATGCCCAAGGCAGTCCTAAAAAAAAATAATATTAAAAAACAAAAACAAAAACAAAAACAAACAATAATTCCTGAAAATTGAATTTCTGCTTACGGACCCCATCGCTCTTGGCTTTACTTCACATTGCGATAATGCGGATTCATTAGATTTCTAAAGAAGATTAAGAGATGACTAATTTGGTTTCCTGATTCGAACAAGATCAATTGCATGTGCTACGCAAAGTAAGTTAAGCTTAATGATCAGCTGTGATTTTAAAGATTTCACCTAAAGTTTTCACAAAAAAAAACCCTTACAACGCCAAACATCATGCATTCAATCAGCGAATCTTGCATCCAACGAAACTTCTTCTTGAGGTGCTGATTTTGAATTAAAGAGTTTCTTATTTCTTCACAATTGTGAACATTAATACTCATGTGATCTTTCACATTTCCTGGCCTAACCTGGGATCATTTTAGATGCTACAAAGCCATATCATTATAGGTATTTTTAATTTATTTCAACTATGTTAGCAAAAGTCCTCTCTCTACGCGCAATTCATGTGCCCACAATCGGCCCCGTCTCATTTGTAGTGACCTCTTCCCATTCCGCATAAAAATCCCACGATTTGACCCCAGATCAATTGTGGTCTACCTTATATCAGCATATGTCTGTCAATTTATCTCAACCCTTAAGAGCTGATGAGTAATTTGGGCTGATATTGTTAAGCAAACAACACGGATTCATCCAAGGTCCAAGAATTGTGGACATTTTTTCACTCCGGTCAAATTCTTCCATGTCCGGTTAAATGTTTGTTTTACGACGGTCTCAGAAAAGTTCAAATGAACATCGCAGTTTGTCAACTCACTGCAAAAAATGACTAGCTAGTTCTGTCCAATAGAAATTCATTCGATTTATAAATCTTTCCGTGGAATTTTGTCCAGTTCTTTTTGTTCTTGGCGGTGGCGGGGAATGAGAGAAATGGAAGGTACAAAAATATAAGAACTAATGATTCAAATAAGAAAGAAAAGTTTTTCAATCAAAGAAAAAACAACTTGCTTTCATTTTATTGCCTCGCAAAAAGGTACGTCTAAAGTGAAGAAGACTCGTAACATCATGCACTTTCTCGGTACGATAGAAAAATCGGAAGAGACAAGAAATCCGATAACAGGCGATAAAATTGGAAAACTCCATTTGAAGTCCTTTTTAAGTGCCTTAACTGTGTAATAACCTCTTTTTAAAGGAAAAATGTGACTCTTTGCCCTCTATCGGCAGAGAAGTTGATTATCAATTGATTCATTTCTAGGATCTCCCCCGACATTTATCAAGTCCCTCAAGAACAAAACGATCCGAGAAGGCAAAGGTCTGTCCCTTACTTGTAGTGTAACAGGGAAACCCAAGCCTCGTATAAAATGGAAGAAAGATGGCCGGACCATTCCAATCGATGACAGGAGAATTACGATTCGAAACATGCATAAACTGAGGATCAAAAATGCGGGTCCTCAGGACAGTGGTATCTATCATTGTTTCGCCAAGAACCGTCATGGACAGTCTAACAGTGAAAAAGCAAAGGTGACAGTCCTAAGGTGTGTTGATAATGTAAAAAAAGCCCAGCAATTTCAATTTTGCATGCAATTTGGCATTTGATTCTTTGCCGTCTTTTGGCATGCCCCTTGACATGCATAAAAGCTATCAATTTGGCACACGACTCGGTGTGCAGTTTAACATGCAATTTGGTATGGCCTTTGACACGCATAAAGTCCTGAATAATTTGATCTAATCACTCACTTGGGTTGGTTTTTATTCATCAATAACGATCCAAAGTAAAAAACAGGCATTGGTATTAATCGGTAAGGAAGAAATGGTATGAACGGTCGAGAGGTCCCTGGAGGGTTAGGCATTCTTCCACGCAGGGGGAGGGGGTGAGCGTTGAAGGATTTTCATCCTTAAAAATAATGTTAAATCAAATTCAAAATTGAGTAAGATCTGTTCCGACAGAAGTCTGTTTGAATAACAGCACCCTTACATATTACTTGGTCAAGAACTCAATCTCGGACCATGCGTACATCATTAGCACTTCTGTTAAGAACGTCCCTTAAAATGCAAAGTATGCTGCGATTAAAAAGAGGGAAAAACATCCAGTCTGTGCCCTTTGATCTGCGAGAACTGGCCAAACATCTTTTTTTTTTTTTT